AAGTTAGGAACTGTCTCGTCAGTTTGCACCACGTGCGCATGCGCAAGCACACATGCTTTCACACACAAACCTCCTGGGTTATGACTGGGTTTGCTATGACTCTGTAGATCAATATCCTGGGGAGCATTGATGTCTTTACGTTGTTGAATTTTCCAGTCTGTGAACAAGACATATCCTTTCATCTATTTAGGTCATCTGTAATTTATTTCAATAAGATTGTTCAGTTTGTAGTCATATCCATAATTTGTTAAATTTATTCCTAGGTATTGATTTTTCCAATGCTACTATAAATTGTATTGTTTTATGTAGTTATTTATTTCTAGGACATAAAAAAGTTAGTTTTGTGTATATTGCTGTTGTATCCAGCATCTTGTTAAATTTGAATAGTCTATGATTCTGTCTTTAGGTCCTTTTGGATTTTCTACATACTCAATTGTGTCATTTATGAAGAATGACCATTTCTTTTCAATCCTTGTTTCTTTCTTTATTGGGAATAGAGAGGGGGCATTTACTGCAGTGGCTAGAACCTCCAGTAAAGTGTTAAATAGAAGTGATAGTGGGCATCCTTATCCTGTTGCTGATCTCAGTCAAAGGTTTTAACATTTTACTACAAAGTATAATATTTGCTGTATTTTTTGAGAACTCCTATCACATAAAAGAAGTTTATGCCTCTACTCTTAGTTTACTAAAAGTTTTTATTATGAATGTGTATGGAGTTTTCTACATTTGTTGAGATGACATGTGAAATGTATTCCTTATTCTGTTAATGTGATTAATTACATTGATTAATTTTCTAATGTGAAATCCAGTCTTGGATTTCTGATATCAGCCTAACTTGGTTGTGTATTTAGCCTGATTTGCTAAGCTGATGATATTTGTTTTTGCATCTATGTTCATCTTGTGATATTTTCATCAGGGTTTGTATCAAAGATACGCTGGCCTCATAAAAAGAATTGAAATATGTTTTCCTTTTTTTCTTCTCCTTCTCACTCTCCCTCTCCCTCCTCTCCCTCTCCTTCCTCTTCCTCTTCCTCTTTTTTTTTTTTTTTTGAAAAATTTAGTCATACAACTATCTTTGCCAGACTTTACTTGTGGGAAGATTTTTACTTACAGATTCAATTTCTCAAATAGTTATGATTCTTTTTTTCCCATTTCTTGTTATATTATTTCTTCTTGATATATTATGTTTTTCCTAGAGGTTATTTCATTTAAATTGTAAATGCTTTGGTATGAAGTTGATTAGCTTTTTTAAAAAAACTAACCTTTGACATTGTTAATTATCTTGATTGCTAATTCCTGTTGTGGTATTTTCCTTGGTGCATGGGTTATTTATACGTATACTGACTGATTTCCAAATGTTGGGATTCCCTAGATGTGTTTGTTATTGACTTCCAGCTCAAGTCCACTGTGGTCAATTAACATACTTACATCAGTACTTCTCAAACTGTCTGTGATGGAGGACGTGATTTTTTCGCAATCTCTGGTGGACTGGTAACTTTTGTAAAATATAACAAAAAATGAATTTATTAGAAAATTGAAATAAAAAGATATGCAAGTTCTAAGCCCCAGTTTTTGTTATTAGATTCTACAGGTACACACTACTGTGTTAAGTGGCTATAATATTTTCTAAGCACTTATTCTCAGTTTCTCAGCCTGTCTAACTGTGGTCCCGTAACAGCTGCATACCAGCACTAGTCCGTGGAACACAATTCAGGGAGCACTGCTTATTATGATTTGAGTCTTTGAAGTTTGTTGAGACTTGCTTTATAGCCTTAGCACATGGTCAACTTCGGTTAAGTGTTCCATGTACAGTTTAAAAGGTGAGTTCTGCACTTGTAAGATGGAGTGCTTTATGTATGTCATTTAGATTGAGGTTCATCATGTTATTCAACTTTTTGATATTCTTATTACTATTTCTTTTTGTGTAATTGTTCATCTATGAATTACTGAGGGAGGTATATTAAATTTCCCACTGATAATGGATTTGTGTCTTTTCTGTCTGTATTTCCCTTATACATCTTGAAGCTATGTTATTAGTTATATTCAAATTTACAATTGCTTTGTCTTACCAGTAGACTGACCCTTTTAACACTGTGAAATTTCCCTCTTAATCTCTAGTATTGTGTTTTGCCTTAAGTTTTGCCTGATAATTAGCATACCAATGCCAGCTTTATTTTCATTAGTGTATTTTTTAAATTTTTTAAAAAGATAGTCTCTTGTAACAGTTTGCTGGTTACTTTATTCATCAGCTATGTTGTATATAGTTGTATGTATGTGTATTTATACATAAAATAAAGTATATCTTTAAATGCACAGTTTGATGAGATTTGACGAATGTATACACCCATGTAACCACTAGCACAATGAAGACATAGAACATTTCAAAGCTCAAAAGGGTCTTTGATGCCCCCTCTCACTGCCAGTCCCTACCCAAGCCTGGGCAGTCGCCGTTCTGCTTTCTGCCACTACAGATAAGACGTGTCTTTTCTCATGTTTCATGTGGGTGGGATTGTATAGTACGTACTATTTTGTGTCTGGTTTCTTTGAAGGAAAAGAGCAGTGTAGAATTTTGGGCTCATTGCAATGCGTTTCCTGATCTCTCTAGACCTGGCTGACCTGGTAGACCTCTGGTGCTCTTACACTGATGCGTTTGAATTTTATTAAACTCTTCTAGTTGATGTCAATGGGAGGGTTGGTCTGAAACACGGCAGCTCACAATAGCCAGAGCACAAGAGCTCCAGCAGTGTTTGGTGAAAGTCCAAAGGTACAGAGGGTGAGTGCTCTAGTTAAATGGAATCCCAGTGGTTCCCCCAATCATTTGAGCAGGATCGAAAGATTCAAAGGGATGTTATTTCCATTAAATAAAGGATATTTATCCTATATATTTTATCAGTCAAGATTCAGTGCCAGAAACTAGATGTTTTAAGCAGGAGAGCATTTAATGCAGGGAATTAATGGTTACAAACTGTTGGAAGGTCTGAGGGAGTAAATTTTAGATTTGGGTTATAAGAATGGCTCCCTGGATAATTACAGAGCTGCTCTGTCGGGGAAGCTACTTGTGGCCGACCTCACAGACCGCCAGGAGCTGTACAGAAATCACAGCTGCTGCCGCCACCACGCCATGACCTCACTGGCCCCGCAACAAAGCCCTTCTCTCCCTTCCGCCTCCAAATCTCACAAGAGTGCCCCTCGTGGATAGATCTTACTTTGAATCAAACACTACTTGAAGGGAATATAGAAATTGTGTTTTTGGCTTAGCAACTTCCCCAAATTTTAGGAAGATAGAATGAGGGTAGAATGAGAGCCAGACCCACAGTTTCTGCCCTACACATAAAAGACAGGTCCAGCGCCCCTCTGACTAAAAGAGGGTGGACAGTAATTCAGTGTTATTCTGAATAAACTGTCCATTTTTCTCTCTGACATTGCCATCGATAAATATTATGTTTAATGAGACTTTCGATCTTCTGTGCCTTTGATTTTTTTCCTGTCTGCTAAATGAGCATGTTATGACCAGTGATTTAAATATCCGGCATGCATATCAATCAGTTAAAGGTTATGTTTGAGCTCAGTTAATAATTTAATATTTGTCAAAGATACACAAGATGCCCAGCATTACCTTGGTAACTCTCAAAATTTAAACAGCTTACCAGGATTGACATTACCTAATTCCGAGGTCATCTTCAAAGATTATCCTGAAATCAGTTTATTTCATAGCCAAGTGCACACGGAAACTTTCATCAATTTCATTTGTGATTCTGATTGTATATTCAAGGGCACTCTGATATATTCCATAAATGTTTATAGCAATTCAGATCTTGATGTGAAAATGTCAGTGGTACCCTCAAGGGTAAAAAGCTAAAAATAGCTCCTCTAGCATTGTCCTTATGTTCGTTGATCTGTTTTCCTTTATAAAGTGGGTGGTTTGATGTTAATAAAAGGCCTGGATAGAGTCAGGACAATATACACACCAATACGGTCTAGATGTTTTTTGGTTCATTGTAAGGTACTGAGGTCTTATGATGTTTTCAGCAGCTATAGATCATTTGCACTCAAGGGGAGAATAAAAAGTAAAAACAAACACAAAGAGACTGGTGAACTGTAATAGGATTGTTAGCTCGAGCGTTACGCAATGAAAGTGTTCAGGACTAGAAGTTAGAAGGTGTACGTTGCTTAAATAGCTTTAATGTGACAGTTTGGGGCCAGTATTTTTGTATGTCGGATAGGCTCTGTGATTTACAATGATTCTGAATTTGAAATTCACCTCAATTTTCCACTTGCTGTTTGCATTAGAAAGAATTCATTGCAAAGAACTCTAAAAAAGAACCGACTTAAGTTTATTTTAGGGCACAGTGAATCTAAGACTGTACTCCACAGGTATTCCAATAGGACTATTTCAGAGAACAGGGAACATATCCTTTAACATAATTTTTATTACCACTTATTTACTAGTTAATTCATTAGTATTAGTAAATATGGTTTTAAGTACATAGTTGCCTTTCCTAACATATATTTTATTTTTGTGAAAACGTAAGGCATGATAAGACTCTGAAAGGTCCCTTGGATTGCTTTACCTCCTTCAGAAAGATAACCTCCTTTGGAAGAATATTCTTCCCTTAAAAAAAAAAAAGTCTTAGAGAAAGACCGTTATTTTATTTACCTAACCACCCACTTAATTTCAGAAAAATTCTCCGGTCAAATATTTGAATGGTAATGTCTGACCGGTGGAATGTTTGAGTGTTTTTTTAATTATTCCTTATCATATGTTTCTTTACTTTTCTCAGAGGTTATCTTCATTTGTTGGGTGTCTGTAGTGCTTCACTGAACAAATTTAATGTATGCTGTTGTGATTTCTAGTGAGCTTATAAAAGAATTTGTCAGAGGATGAATGTGTGGGGAAATATCAGAGAATTCTAATAAGAGTGTTTTTCTTTATTTGAGACTTTAAAAACATGTCCATAATAAGTGTGTTTTAATCCATTTACTCTTCTCTGTCCTCTCAGGTGGATCTCCTTACTTAGCAACCAAAATTAATGAAGCAAAAGACTTACTAGAAGCAACCACCAAACACTGATTGATGCTCAAGGACCACTCTGAAGGAAAGAAAAGGGACCCTATTTAAAAAAAAAATAAAAAGTCCTGCAAACTGGTCTAAACCATGGCCGTTAAAAATTTCATACACATACTGACCACTTCTTCCACTACTAAGCTGTATAATAATAAAAGACGAATAGTCTGTCTTTGTATTACCTTTTGAAGGAACACTTGGAATTCTGTCGCTGATCTTTCCCCTTCTTTTCTCCCTCTCTGATGGTCATACATTTTAAGACGTCTGTTCTGTTAGGGCTAAGTTCCTCCCGCTCCCCTCCCCCGCACAAATATGATCGTTGGTGTTGTCACTGGGATCTGTGAGCAATGGGTAAGAAGTTTCTCGCTGCTTGTACTCATGCTCGCATTGTCCCTTGTTTCCTCGGACGAATTTAGTACTCAGCCCATGTAAGATGCTTTAAGTGTTTTGAGGCCGTACACTGACTGCCAGCCCGTGGGGAAACGATCTGAAACGTCCTGGAACTGACTAAACGGTGTTTTGTAAAGTGGTGGTTAGAGAGCTCTGCTCTCCCCGAGACCCTCTGGCTGAAGCCTGAGAGCTCGGAGAGCTACTAACATGATTAAAGATTTACAAAATGAGTCCCGCGGGGAAAGGCTGGAAAGAGCCGGGAGAAGTCCGAGGCACCGTAGCTCAGCGTAGCTTCCAGTCCTGTGTATTTATTTATTGAGTTGTTCATTCTGCTCATTTTTGCTGAGCACCTGCAGTGTGTGAGGTGCTCACTGTAGGAGTCCTCCAGAGTTACAGGTGTGAACCAGGCATGGACCCTGACCTAAAGGGACTTGCAGAGGAAAGAGAAACCGCATGAATCCTGTTAGAGAGGCACAGATGATATGCTTAGGAAGTTCAAGAGAAAAGAATATTTTAAACCGAGCACCAGGGGGCGCTTCTAGAATCAGTGCATAGAGCTGGGCTTTAAAAAATAGATACACCGTATGATTGGTGAGTCTGTTGTTGCCCCTGAGATCAGTCAGAATGAACAGAAATAGGATATATTATTAGTTAGTTTGATTAACATGCAGGGTTTCTCCAAAGCAAGGGATGAACACTTGGTTTGGAAGGGCTTTAAATTATTTCCTCAACAGCCCCTGGTCATCATCAGTTTACTACGCCAGAGGCAGAATACCAGCATTATTTTCTGGTATTCTTTACAGCCCTGGGTTCATCCCAGATAGACTGAACTACTGCATTTCATCTGTTTTCAAATACTTTTTAAATGTTGTAGATGCATCTTTCAGTTTATGACATCCTGTAGTTAGGGAGTTCTCAACGTTGGCAATATCGACTTACCGAGCTGAATAATTCGTCTTTTATGGGGAGCTCTCCTGCGCACGATAGGGTGAACACCAATATCTCTGGCCCTGGTGGAGAGCCACTGCTGTAAATGCTGTGTTTTCTTTTGGTACAGAAAGTAATGACCTGACTTAAAGGTGATTGATTCTTAGAGTCACTGAAATCATGGTTCTTGCTTTAAAATCCCCGTGCATGTCCTAGTTTTTTTCTTGCGCTTTATCGTTTGTTGTTTTGTTTTTTTCTGCTCACTGTTATCCCCGTACCTTGAATGCCCTCCTAATTCCCAGATCTCCACATGCCCAAAGCCGAGGGATAGTTTAAGGCCAAGCTGAGATCTGTCCCTCCTTTTCTGATGCTTCCAGCTAAAGTAATCTCATGAATTGTCAGCTCTCTGAGAGCAGGGACATCTCTGTCTTGGTCACGGCCACACTGGCACCCAATCAATATTTGTTGACTAAATGAATAAATTCCCATAGCACTTTATTCCTCACTTATGGTACCTTGTGAAACAACTACTTGTGTAACATTGCTTATTTCTCCTACAAAAGTGCAAGAACTTGTAGAGCAAGAATTTGTCATTCATCTTTGTAACCTCTCTTCAGTATGGAGTACTCGCTTTTAGTAGACGTTGTAAAGTTAAAATACTAAAAATTGTTCTCTGAATTCTATGCTTCAAAGAAAGTTACCTCTAATTTTTTTTGAAGTATAGTCAGTTACAATGTGTCAGTTTCTGGTGTACAGCATAATAGATCCCAGTCATGCATACATATACATATATTTGTTTTCATATTCTTTTTCATTAAAGGTTATTACAAGGAACTGAATATAGTTTCCTGTGCTAACCACTAATTTTGAAAGTTACGCTAAGCAATATTGGGGTACCCTCAGGACATACGCATTGATGTATTTTCTAATCTGTACTATATTCATGAAAATCTGAGTCCCCAGCATTCACTTGGAATTTCCTTCATTCTGTTCTCATTTTTCTGCTGAGCATGTGCCTAATAGTCAGACAGATCTGGTTTTGAATACTGTCCTATCACATGATCTTGGGCAGTTAATCTGCAAGTCTATAGTTGCCTCGTCTAGAATACAGGGAAAACAATAATCCTATCTAATAAGGTCATTGTAGGGAATAAAGTATAAATCATTTAGACTCGTAGCAGATGCTCAAAAATATAATGATTGCTTCTTTCATGGCCCTATTTAATTAGATCTGTTAGACTACCTTGGGTTAAGGATTGAGGTGTGTTCCAGTAGTCATATATTTTACTCTTGAATCCACAATTTGTATAGTATGTGGCATAGACAGCTCATCTCGCTTCCATGTAGCATCACGTGCGGCCGAAGCCGGGCTTGCTGACATGGAGGTTAACCAGGGTGTCTACCTGGAGCCCTGCTTCCTCCCTACATAGGTCTCTGTGTGGGGCAGCCGTGTTACAAGACAAGTGATCTAAGACCAGAGGTGCAAGCTGCATCCTCAGCCTGTTTCATGGAGCCCGTCTGGATTCAAGAGTGAGGATAGAGAGGATTGTGGAGGAATTAATGACCATATTTAGTATGTAGCAGGGCAGGTTCTAATTTTTTTTTTTTACCCTTCCTTAGT